TGGTGACGAGGGCAGAGAATTGTATACTAGACTAGTTTCTATGTTGGGGTAGCAAGAAGACGATCAACGGGTTTAAGCAAACTCGGATCTAGCGAGTGCTCACAGTACACGTAGCTTAGGCGTTTCATACACACTACCCAATGGACATGTAAGAGCCTTATAAATCCAAGAACTATGCTAAATCGAACATATTTGAGCAAAGCTCTGGACACACGAGCCGGGTATTTATAAAAGGACCGAATCGCGAGGCCCACCTTGTCCAGCACTTGGATACAAGCAATTGGCAGTCGGCGGCCTACTAACCGGTTGTCTCGCGCAGGCTATATCGTCTCTATGGCAGACGAATGAGTCCCTCAGATCAGCGAGTTCGTTCTTGCTATCTAACAGCTACCCAACCCTATTCAAATAGCTTTTTCTTCTAAATGAAATGTCACCAACCTCGCTCCCGGGGACTTACCCCGAATAATACTGCCTCATAGTATTAAGATACGAATCGCCCCACCTTGGCAAGTTTAGCTCGATGGACACACAGATGTCCCTCACCAATTCCAGGTTTAAGTCTGTCCCCGAAGCCCAAACCGTCTGAAACAACTTATTCGATGGCAAGCACTCGCAGTAGAGGCTGGGCTCATAGACGGCAACTCTGCGTATCCAGCCACAAGGTAGCTTCCGGCCCAAATTCTACAGGCTACTATACACAATCCATCAGCTCGAGCGAGAAGTTGATTGTTTGGGTGAAATCGTGGAAAGTGATTACATGAAGCATCTGTCAGCTAGAGCGGACAGAGCAGGGTAATCGAGAAATCAGCGAATAGCCGACCACCTAAGCTTGGGGCACCGGGAGGCAACTCGATGAACGTAATTCAAAATTAGACGCTATACCACCAAACAACTCTCCCTTTAGGAATTCACATTAACTATCCGGCGCCATAACAAATCCTGAATGGCTCGAGTTGCGAGGCAGCAAACGCGCGCCGGACCAGTCGTCATGACAGAAACAACATCCTGAACTGAAACGCCGCAGCAAAGTCGGCTCGCATTTAATGGTTAAGTGGAGCATTAAATAATTGATGGCACTGAAAAGTGCGTATATTCCGGGAAGTGAACCGGGAGTATAGGAATCCAAGAACACATCGTGGGGCACAGGCAGCGGCGCAAGTGAGATGGCATAGCAGCGGGCCCGTGACAGTCGCACCTGTGTCTGACAACTACGGCAGCGGAGAATGCGGGCGGAATCAGAGTCCAGGGCTACGAGTAATAATGAGTCCACTTTGACAGCAAACCAGAACAAGACAGGAAGCAGGACATTATATTAGAGAAAACTTGCAAACGAGTCATTCAGCTTTTTCATCAATTAGGCCAGATTCAATTAAATATGGCTCCAATGTGGAAACAATGCACTTGTGCACTTCGTCAATCTCCAGACCGGTCGCTTCAATCCAGTTCCAGATAGGAAGTTTCTTACCATGCGCAACTTTGGCATGCTCAGCATCCATCTCCTTGGAGATCCGGAGATAATTGCCGAGCACTTTAAGTTGGAAATCGCAAGTTTCATATCTTTCGTCACCAAAGCCCGCCCGTTTCTCAACTTCTGTTAATTTATCAGGCGTAAGGCATATGACTACATCCGGTTGAGCAAGTCCGTGTTCGACCTTTCTAGACCATTCCCAGTCCGGAGGATCGGGCTTTGCCGCTGAATAGGCGATTCCAGAGTAGCTATACCGGTCGGCGATGACGCAACGACCGTCCTCAAGAGCTGCAAGGATGTCCGTGTTGCGCTCCCATCTGGAACGAAAGAGGGTTGTCTGAGGTAACGCAAAATAATGTGATCAAAGCTAGGTTTGCAGCAAAAAAAAGCTTTGTTCACCTGTTAGCAGTAAACAATAGGTGAATTGCATGGGCTTCCATATCAACTTTGCCGGTGAGATAGTCCGAAATACCTTTGCCTATCGGAGTCTCGCGGTCGGGAAAATGCACGAGAACAGCCTCTCTATTCGTCATAGAAGTTAGCTCGTGACGCAAAAGTCCCGCTTGGGTAGACTTACCGGATCGATCTATACCCTCCAAGACGATGAATAGGCCCCTAGGGCGTAAGGTTGACATAGCCTGATGGCAGCGACGAGGAATGGAAGAAAGTGCGAGAAGGCAGGTGGTGGAACGAATGGAGCGCCAAGAAAGCATCAAATGTCGCCAAACAAGATAAAAGAATAAACGAGTAACTTTATTTGTGCTGATATACCAAAAAATAACAAAG